CAGTGGAACCTTCCCCTGCACATTTCCTTGCTCTATAACCTGAGCCATTTAGGCTGTCACAGTTCTGAGCAGTTTCTCTGCTTGCTTAGTATTTCTTATACGTTATACTTACTACTTATACGTTATACTTATTACTTATACGTTCACTTATACGTTGTTTATTAATTACTTCTTTGGTTATTTTCTGAGCCCCTTGATTAAAATGTAAGGTTTTTGAGGGCAGGATTTTGGCTTTTATTCACTTCCACATTCTCAATATTTGAACAATGCCTAACACAACTCAGTGGACGTCCCATACATTGTTGTTGAACATAGAATGAGAAGGCTCCGTGCTTCCTCTAGAGAAATCTGTCCAAAGTTCCCTAACACTCACCTACCCACTCAGAAACTTCCGTAATTACATGGTCTATGCACTCTCCTCTCCCAGTGCAGAGCTTCCCCATTTTTCCTGCTCCAGCTCAAATGCTGTAAAGTTCCCTCTCCTCCATCCAGGAGTCTGCCTCTCATCCTTTCTCCTCTGCGTTGTTAGAATGAACACTAAGAGTGAGAACTTGCAGTCTTCACTTCTCTCTCTCCCAAGTCACAACTAAATGATCCTGAGTGGGATGATCTAACAGTTCTGTGCCTCAGTTTCCTCATCTAAAAATGGTAGAAAACACAGCAACAAAAAAATAATTACAGCTGTTGTCAGAATCAAATGAGATAATCTGTGTAGAACACTTGGAAGAGCCTGGAACACAGGAAGTGTTCCAGGAATATAGGAAATGCTAAATAGTCATAATTATTCTGATTTCCACACATTTGAGCACTTAACCAAAATGCTATCTTTTGCTTTAAACTATCAGGTGTGTTTGTTTTCTCCTTCTCCCACTTGGTCACACAGCATCTAGCATAGTATCATGCTAAGCAACTCAACAAATAGTTGTCTGGTTGAACTTAATAAAGGAAAATGAAAAGAGATAACAAAGAAAGGTGACCCAATAGACGAGTTACCACCTGCCAACTCAAAAATTATATTTCCCTTTTATTTTTTAAAAATATGGTGAAGAAAGCTCAGTGCGTAAAATTTTGTGCTTTTGCCAGTTAATTCAGCTTAACTTTTCTACTTATTCTTAGCTGCTGCCTGCTTTCAAGTGAACAGGCTTCAAACTTGTCACATTCTTGGTAATTTTTTCTATCCCTGAGGAATACTTTATCACTATTGGCTGGAAAACAACCGAAATATTGCCTTCTACTTGACTTTACCTAAATGGTAATTCACAGATCCATTGGATTGTTGCCCAGACAACAGAAAATAAAATCAAGAAAAAAATGAGCTAAGTGATACTAATTTCCATCTTATATAATAGAAATGTAATTAAATTTGAAGGTGAAATAAATATTGGGTGAAAAAAGAGCAAATTCCACTAGCACATATTGATTGAACTTAACAAGGGATGTGTCATTGGCTCATCACTCTATCCTATAGGATTCCAACAAATTAAACCTCTCCAACTGGCAAGTTAGTAATGTTGACGTAACGCTGCTTGTCCCTGGACAGCTGAGCTCAGCAACTCTAGTTCCATTTTTCCTCTCCAAAGCATAGCTAAAGAAACATTTCTTGGATAAATGTCATATGTTTGCTACTTTTCAAAAAATTTAGTTCACATTTTCCTCTATAGCTCTGCTTATTGTTCCATGATTTATGTAGATTTTATTTGTTTGGGTCCAGGTGTAAATTTCAGTAAAAAGAACAATATTCAAAGTAGGTCACAGTAATACAAATGAGGTTCATGGATCTGATGTTCAAGAAAAAGAAATTTTTCAATTCTTACCTTTCATATTTTAGTCCACCATTCAGGTGTTATTCTATTCTATTCTATTCATCTTTATTTATTTTCAGTATGGAAGGGTTCCTCTTTCTTCTCCTCCCCCTCTCCTTCTCTCTTCCTCCTTCCACTTCTTCAACTTGTAAGAAGAATGCTTTCAATTGATACAATGGGTAATTCTTTTACAAGTCCAGTTTTTAAAATGAACCATAATACATAACTCTGTAATTTTAGTTTCCTAAAAATACATCGTGGACAATCCTCTAGGTCATTGGTTAAAATCTGGCACATTATTTTTAATAGCAGTAAAATAGTCTATAGTGTAACTATTTCACAAGTTTTCAACTATTCCTTTTATGGATAATCAAGTTGTTGTCAGCTTTATTTTCCACTAACAAGATGGAAATTAATATTTTTGTTCATGTTGTTACATATGGGTATTTTTGGTTCTATGGGGTGGTTTCCAAAATGTAAAACCAATGGGTCAAAGGTTTATCTATATGCCTTTATCTCTATAGAATCTATTAATACATATAGATCAATATATGTTAATATTTTTCTATAAAGCGCTATGGATGTTAGCATATTTACATCTATTTGATTCCATCAGCCTAGATTTTCTGATGGAAAATTTTTCTTAACAGTCAAAAATAACAAAAAATTGTTCTTTCCTGTACTCAGAAAACTTCAACTTCAAAATGAAGTATGCCCCAAAATCAAACCCTTTTTCATTGTTACCATGTTGTTTCAAGGATAATTTCCTAAATTTCTTAGCAGTCCATCTTCTGACTTTTTTTCTCAAACTTATGGCAGAATGGTATGTGGGCTCTGTCCACCACACAAACGACCATATTTTCAGACTCAATTGTATTTGACAAAATCAGTAGAAGAAGGCATTACTAATCATACTTATATTTAGACCATTTACAAAGAGTCATTTGTTGTGAAATCTTATAATAAGCGAAATCTATCAACTTTTTTCTTTGCTTATTTTTGAATATGAGTCTAGATGTTGAATCTGCAAGATTTTTCTTGAATTAGGGTTATAATGCACAATATATATCATGGATTTGTTCTTTTGAAATAAAAGTGACAATTTTTTTTCTACTTATTTCTCAGAGCCAATGGTTTATTGGCTTGTTACTCAAGTAAATTATTTGACTTGTGTAGACATAAAATGTGTCTAGTTGATATAAGAATATTTTTTAGTAAGAGGAAAGTGAAAACCTTAGGCTCTAGAAAAGACCATTTTTTTATTCATTGACCGTCAACATATATTATTTCATATAATTCTCCAACAACCTGTAAGTATTTACAGAGGAGAAACTGAGGCTCAGAGACATAAGTAGCTTCCTAAAGGTCTCATAGCAAGTAAGTAGGAAAGCCCAGATTTTTCCCCATTATCTATCTGATTTTGAGGCTCATACTCTAAACACTAGTATATCCCCACTTCCCTATTTAACCCAACTCATTGACCATCCCCCATTTTTGCCCAATCACTTTTCCTCTCTTGGTTGTAAGTTATGTCAGTCATAATCAGCAGCGATGATATAGACGAGAAGGTAAAGTTCCACTGGCTATAGTATTTCTACACAACTGGAGGGTTTGACTTACAGCAAGTGACAGGCTCTGGTCTACTCTCGGAGTGGGAAAGGAGTTATTTCAGGTTCCACTGAGCAGACCTCTCTTCTGAGGTTGACATTTCTCCCAGAAGGTCTGATGGCTGGTTACATAGAACAGTGTCCAGCCTAAGACTTCATCCTCCTGTTACCAAAGATATTTCTACCCTAGTAGATTCAAGGTACTCAGCAAAAACTAAATCAATGTTATATGACCTGCTGAGTGAATAAACACTTTTCTCCCCTTTTGTTTCTTTAACCCTGAGGCTTATTTGGAAAGTGAACACCATTTTTCTTTGAGATTTTCAAAAGGCACACTGGAAAGTACCTCAAATGTCTCATGCTTAACAAATTGTTGTGAAGAGGCGGGGGTGGTAACATTCCAATCCTCGCCCGTGTTAAATTAGAGTTGCTCTTGACTAATTTGGGCATTGATAATTCTAGAAATTTTTCAACAGTGGAAAATGTAAGCAAGATTCACATCATTTTCAGAGGCAACACATTTTATTCTATGGACTGTCATGAAATACACAGCCTTTTGTAGTTTAATATGTAAAACCTTAGAGAGTTTTTTTTTTGGTCAACATGATGACTAACTATAACGCCATAGTGTATGTAATTTTTAAATTGGCTAATACTATTTTCTCCTTCCCCATAGAATTAGGTATTTTTTTAAAAGTATTGACATATATGAAAACAGCCCTTTAAAAAAAATTAATACAAGAAAAGGCCTAACTTGGAGAAGTTTGGATTGAAAATGTACTGAGAGTGAAGGGATGGGGTTGGGGGAGGCTCTTTGTAAATCACAAGAAAATCTGTTTCTCAATTCTTTTATTCTCATTCAAGTCTTTTGGGGAAGGAAATAGAGCACCACGCAGAGCCTGTAGTTCTTGCACGTTGAGGTTAAGACTGAGCCACTACTTGCTGGTCCCTCTACCAGCATTGCAATCCATTTCTGGCAAGATAGGCTGGCCGTTCGCCAAGCTCCGAAGCCACCAAACCCCGACGCCTTAAGCTGCCTCGCACCAGAGAGCTCCGGACTGCAGGGGCTGGAAGGAAGGGAAGCGGCTGAAACCACTGACGCGCAGCAAGGGGCTTCTCGCCCTCGGAGGGTGCCGGTGCGCACAGCTCTCCCAAAGGTCGCTGATGCCCGACGAAGGGCATTCCCACACCTGCACGCACACAGAGTAACCCGCGCACACCCACACACCCCACATTCAGAAAGCACCGCACATGGCAACCTCCTTGCTCCAAGATTCCCCTATTTTGGGACACATTCTGCAAGGCATTTAAGTGCCTCCCTTCTTTATTCTCATCCTCCAAGTTTCCAAACCTGAGACTAAATGACGCTCTCCTGCGCTCACGGCTTGAGCCTTCCTAGTGCTGCACTGGGTACCCCTGATGTGCCAAAGGAACGCACCAGCATCGCGCGCGCCTTCCAAGCTCCAGCGAGGACAAAGGGGGGCCGAATTCCAGTTAAAGAAGCCGCGGGTTTGGGGCAGATGGGCTCTAGTGCCGTGGGGTTCAACACCCTGAGCCCCCGTGCGCCCTCCCTTTCCCGGGGCACTCTCACCATTTGTAGCCTCTGCCGCTCTTGAACTTGAGGGTGAGCACAGTCTCCAGGAAGAGCAAGAGGTTGAGCAGCGCGAGCAGCCAGTACCACGGCTCCTTCTTCACCTCGGTCACTCTCCAGACCCCGACCAGAGAGTGCAGCACGAAAAGCAGCCGCGTGGCCAAGGCGTTGAGCAGGACCAGTCCCTCCATGCCGGCCTGTGCGCTCGGCCCGCGGACCCGGCCGCGAGCACCAGGAGCCCGCCCGGGGGCGGGAACGTGACACACGGAGACCTGATGCTGCGGTGGTCCCTTCTCGCCCTCCCGCGCCCGAGCGGGTGGAACCGGGGAGCGCGGCTCGCCCCTCCCCTCAAACTTCCTGAGAACTCTTCCAAGCGGGGCGAATCCAAATCCAGCTTTTCTAGACTGCTGGGCTTTCCAGGGAGTCGGGGCTGCTGCTGCCCTGGCTCCCGGGCGCTATTCTCCAGCGCTGCCCATCCCCCTTCCAATTCTGGGGGCCGGTCTTTATTCCTGCCCCGTATCCCCGCCTCCGGGCCTCCAAGGGGCCCACGAGAACTTCCCCACTCCAGGGCTGGACAGAGGAGGGAGGTGGACTGAAGGTCAAGGTGCTGCATAGCCAGAAAGGCGGACGGGGGGCACGAGGCTCTGGCCCCTCCTCCTTACTTTTCCACCGAAGTACTTTGATTCACTCACACGTTTTACAGGAACACGCTCGTATGGTGACTCGAAGCTGGGACGCAGGAGGGCCAAAGAATCCGCTGTCCAAGCAGTTTTAGAAACGCGAGGTTCCTGCCCAGTTTGAAGAAAGGAATTTTCCCAGGACCAGAAGAAGTCATCACTCTGGGCTTTCTGAGAGCTTCGTGCATCTCTCTCTTCGCGTGGGTCACTTTGACTCTTTGAACCCCGCGTTATTAAAACAGAGACAGTCTTTATTATGCCGCCTCGTACCCCACCCCTATTTTTTCCCCCTGAAAGAAATAGGGTAACAAGCTAAGACAGCATAGGGGAAAGTGAGGGGAGGAGACAGATGATAAGGCCAGGAATAAGATTAGAAGGTGAAATTCTTGGATCAGGACCTGCACTCTTGAGGTCAATGACCGTGAATTAAACTCTCCTCTTTCCAGCATCCAACGGAAAGAGGAAAATGAAATTAGAATCAGGGTTTCTCAAAACACCTTCACGATTTTTGTTTCCTTGTGTGGTGTCCTACCACCTGTACCACTGTGTACTTAATATTTTTCTTTAAATGGACTCAAATTTTTGCTGAAATAAATTCATTTTAAAAAGAAACTTTTTTATCACTTGTAAATGCAAAACCAGTATAGTTGGCGGTGGAAGGTAAGTACAAAAATAATTAAAATAAAATGAACTAAGTTATTGAAATCTTGCTAGATATTACTTAGTGCCTTCCAAAGTGCTGTGCCTCAGACTCACTCTTTCTTTGCTATCAAGGGAGATAGAAAAAAAAAAATAGTCATATTACTACCAAGCAGGAATTCTCTCTTCACCACACTAGTAATATTGAAAGAAAAATCTACAGGGACTCTTTCCTGGTTAGGTTTATTCAATTTAAAATCATCTCATATCTTCCTTAAAGTTAAGTTGAAAAACTCTGATCTATATGATTTATGACTCTAGTAGGTGAAAAATATTCAATTGCTTAGAAGAAGCTTATAAGTTATTTCCAGTACTAAGATCTATCTGGGAGAATTTTGGTTTTGCTTTGTTTTGTTTTTCTTTTTTTGTTTTTCCTGTGGGTCTGCATTCTCCCACAACATCTTACAGGAAACCCAACAATGATTTCCTGGGGCTGTTTATTCTAGTGCCCTTCACTGTCAGCTGATGACACAGTGACCTGGCACTATTCAGCGAAGCGGAAGAGCAGAGCACAGCAGACAAATGCAGTGGGAGGAAGCAGTGTGTGTGGACGTCAGAGCCTGGTGCTCACGAGCTGCCTGCCTTGGATTGCTGGCTCAGCCACTTAGTAGTGTTGTGCCTTTTGTACCTCAGTTTCCTTCTCTGTAAATTGGGTGCTAGGTCTATCCACTCATAGGGTCAGCATGCGAATCAAATGAGTTAATCCATATAAAGTGCCTGGCAGATAGTAAGTGCTTAGTAAACGTTGGCAATTATTGTGGAGATCAAGAAAATTAGTCCAGGGGAGCCGCACTTTGACAATCCAAGAAAAATAATAACAGGAGTGCAGTGGAGGAACATGACATTCCTAAAGCCTCTCAAAACCCTCCAGCCGAACATCAGCAGGAACACATGTGGAGCTGAACAACTTGGGTTTATTACCTTTTTAGACAGGGACATGCTCCATGGGGAACCATGGGGCATCTCAGTAAGAAGGTGTTGGAAAGATTAAAAAGTATTAGAAACAATTTATTAGAAAATTTGGGGCATGAACTAGATTTTTGGAGCTTGAGAAAGTGAGGCTTTACTCTAGATTGGATGCCATCAGGAAGTAGGGTTAATTTTATGTTGGGTGTCCTGATAAACCCCATTTAGACTGGGAAATGATTGGTCATGGCTATGGCTTGTATAATATTCATGTTGTGACTGTGTTCAGGCATAATTATGCAGTCCTCTTCTTTGTGTTTTGATCCATCATGATCGTAGAGTGGTCTTGCCTGAGCTGTGAAATATTTTACGTTCAAGAGGAGGATGCCGAGACCTGGCTGATGGTGCCAGATCAGTTGCTTGCTGTCAGGGGTTGCATTTCACTTTCTTAGGCCTTCTAGGAAGGGCTCTCCAGGAGAAGGGCTTGAGAAAAACGAGGGAAGTCAGAATGACATCTTCCAGACATCTTTGTTGTTCCCTGTTTTGAGGGTTTAGATTCAGGACAGATTCTGTGATCTCTGTATCTGAAAAACAAAACTGTCATTAAAGAGAATTTAAAAGTTATTTCTTTTTAATTTTCTCCTAAGCCCATTTTAAAAGATTGGAGGCTTTGAGAAATATCTTGAGGCCTGCAATCTAATAGCCCTATAATCTTTAAAAAAGAAGAAAAAAATGGGCAATTAAAAAAATAATCTACTCTTCTTGAAAAAGCAATCTCAGCCTCATGCACCCTGTGCTGGTGGTAGGGCCTCGGGTTGCACTAAGAGTAGTTGGCCCATGCCATTTTCCCAGGGGGCATCAAACACCAGGCTGCTCTTCCCTTCTGTAGGCAAAGTGAACACAGTTGTCAGGCTTTTCTTTCAATGAGAGTGATTTTAGCTGCAAGAAAGAGACTTTCTCAAATAGCTCAAGTAAAAGGGGTAGTTATTGCAAGGGAATGTATGGTCTAAAAAGGAGATGGAATCCCTTGGGATCAAGAACAGGAGATATATAATAAGACCAGGTCTTGGGTAACTGAATCTTCAGGACAGCGGTGGCCTTGAGTGGCACCAGGGATCTCATGGTCACAGTTTGTGGGCCTTTGCACAGCAACTCTTTGACACTGTTGGCTTCCAGCCACATTTCTACATACCAAGTTCAAATTCCTGAGAAAAGGAATTCAACTGATTTGCTTCAACTCTAGGCATCAGGCTATACCATGCGACACTGAGCAGGCTAGTGATTGACTATAGTCCAGTCATTGGTCATCCCTGTGTGAGTCCTATTTTAGTGTTGTTTTCTTCATCCTTCAACATGAGATTCTGGACAGAGCAGTTTGAGCAGGGGATATTCCTCCACTTTTTGATTTATCAACTTACAGAACTCAACTTCTCAGTCTGAAATTTGGAGAATCCATTACTCCTACAATACCTTCTTTTTCACTCACTCTAACCACTAAATTTGGTTAATCACGTTGTTGTCTATAATAATAACATTCTGTTTTCTAGCAATAATTAAGCTTACTGTGTCTTGTCAATTGGGTGATCCTAAAAAAAATTGAAAATCAGCAAACTAAAGACAAAGATGAAAAATATGAAGTAGTCCAGAAGAAGGAAACAGAAATAATAGAGGAGAAGAAAATTTTAAAGAAATAACAAAGAAAGATTTACTTGCCTAAATAGATATAAGACTGCTGTGTTGAGTAGGGTTTATGAAAAAAAGTCCAAAATCTAGACACAGCGAAATGATAAGCATTCCAAGATAAAGAAGAAAAATCCTAATAATTTCTAGAAATTAAACATAATTATTTACCAAGAGAAGACAATGAGACATATATCAGACTTCTTATAAGCATAATAACATTGAATTCTAGAAAATAAAGGGGAAATGTCTTCAAAGTTCAAGGAAAAAACTATACATCTGAAAATATAGCAAATAAAATTACATATTTTAAATTATTTGTAAGTTTTTAATTATTTTATCTTCCTAAATTATTTCTGTTTCACTTTATTGGTTGCTCAGTTTATTCAATTCCATCTTTCACTTTCAGGGATTTATAATATGATGGTCCTGAAATAATCTGATAATACTTTGTTGTCCATTTATATACACAGGTCAGGCTGGTTACAGGATGTGTTTGGAATAGGCATTATGAGTTGCTGTCTGTCTGTTGAATGGGAAAGCTGGCTGTGACCCTGGATACTTAGGCAGAGTACACGTGTCTGGTCGACTCTCCCAGGGGTTGCGATGAGGAGAGCAGGCAGAGGTGTCAAGGTAAAGACAGTTCCTCTGAGCACTGGTGCTTAGGGCATCTTCTTCAGTCCTTGGTAGAGCTTCCCTGACTTCTCTCTCTACCCCATGCCCCAACTCTGGCCACTGTGAAGATCCACATCTATCCACAAGGATGCTCTGATTCTGCCTACACCCTTGGAGCCGCACGCCCACCACCCTTTCTTTAAAGAATAGCTCTCAAGTTTTAGCTTGAGGACAAATATCACTGGTGACAGCCTGTAAGTAAAGAAGCAGAGATGGTCTCCAAACATTTTCTATTGTTCTCAATACAGATATTGAACAAATACCTTGAGCATTGCTACTCTTTACACATTTTGGTTATGACTTTGGCTTCTTAGGAAGCTCTCATAGAAGGAACTATGCTCACCTCTGCTATCCTAGGCTGTTTCCTTCTGCTGTGATTTCTCCATTGACTCAATCCTATCTATTTTTTGTCTTCCTGGATTTCCTCAAAATTCCTAGTCCACTCCCTCATGCTTTCTAGCAAGACTTTTATTGTACCCTTTTGGATATTAAAAATATTTTCTGCCATTTCAAAAGTGAAGTCTTTGTTTCAAGTTGACAGATTTGAAACAGAAAACTCATAGATTTCTTTACTGTTCTGAAATGTGTGGATTAATTAGGAGTTGTAACTGCAACTATTTCATATATATATATATATAATGGAAGAGAACAGAGCTTTTATTAAGCTGGCAATAACTGTAATAAGCACTCTTCTTTAAGAAAAACAGTAAAGATCAGTGGTAATTCAATCTCAGACACTTCAACAGCTAGCAAGGAAGAGACAGACAAGTACAAGTGGAGCATCTGCACGAGGCTGTCTTCTTCACCCT